TTGTGTTTCCTAGTGGTGTAAAGGTTTTGAACAATAATAATCAGGCTTATTTAACATAATTATTGAAATATATAAACAAATTCATCTAGTATTGCTAATAGCTTAGACCAAAAAGGTTTGACATTAATGTTACAATAACGTTGAAATCTTTTATTATATTTCTATATATTAAATGTAAAAACACCTCAAACTAAATTTCAAACAAATCCTAATTTCATTTTTATTTCGGTAATTATTAATATTTAGGAATATACCTGACATACCAGTGAAATATTTTCCAATGCTCAATAGAATGGCCAGCTTATTCACTTTAAACATTTCTTTTATGCCAAATGTTATAGCAATGGTCCACTACTTGCAATGAAATGAGGAAAATAATAAACTTAGTATTTTACTAGCATTTTCCTAAATAGCAAACATTTTTTTGTTCGGGATGGAGTTGTTTTGCTCGATCGTGGTAACATAAATAATATTTTCTAAGCCTTAATCCTGCCATTAAATACTGTTTTCGAAAACACCAACACGTGATATATTTTTGTCATGTTACCCAGTTTAAAACACCTTTTAAAGTCATTTTTATTATATTTAAATATTTGTTCATTAACATGTTATTGCTTTATTGACACAGCAATTTCCATAATTTACTTTCAGTAATTAACTTCGTAATAAACAAAATAAATAGTTGCGATTGTCATTTTTGGTGTTGTGATTGAAATAGGGTAATATACAGTGTGTAAATTAAGTATGGAAACAAATCTGTATTTTTTAAACCAAAATAGATAGAAATATTGGGTTTGTGGCATTGACTGTTAACCAAGGTTCCGCAATTTTTTGCATCAGAAAAAATTTTTCACCCCCTCAGGGGGGGTAGGGGTAGGGGGTAACTTAATTTTTTTAAATAGCAACCCCTATTGAGTGACCTCTCATTTTGAAGGGTTTGTCAAAAGAAATACAATGCCGTAAACCCGAGGTCGATATCTTACCCCTAACCAGAATGGCGGCCATTTTAAATTTCGAGATGGGCAAACGAAATCCTGTGTGGATACCCATAATTTACCTTTTAAATGGGTTACATTGGGTAAGCCGAACTCCAGATACCATTATTAGATTGAAAAGTGGATGTTTTTATCGTATTCAAAATTTTGCCCCAGCCCCCAAAATAGGGGATTTTGGGGGCAGCCCCAAATTTTTAAACGCAACCCCCTATTGAGTGACCCCTCGTTTTGAAGGGTTTGTCAAGACAAAAGCAGTGGCACAAATCTTAGGTCGATATGTCATCCCTAGACGAAATGGCAGGCATTCAAAAACTTGATTGGGTAAAAAAGCGCCCATTTCACCAATTAAAAATTTTGAATGCCTGCCATTTCGTCTAGGGATGACATATCGACCTAAGATTTGTGCCACTGCTTTTGTCTTGACAAACCCTTCAAAACGAGGGGTCACTCAATAGGGGGTTGCGTTTAAAAATTTGGGGCTGCCCCCAAAATCCCCTATTTTGGGGGCTGGGGCAAAATTTTGAATACGATAAAAACATCCACTTTTCAATCTAATAATGGTATCTGGAGTTCGGCTTACCCAATGTAACCCATTTAAAAGGTAAATTATGGGTATCCACACAGGATTTCGTTTGCCCATCTCGAAATTTAAAATGGCCGCCATTCTGGTTAGGGGTAAGATATCGACCTCGGGTTTACGGCATTGTATTTCTTTTGACAAACCCTTCAAAATGAGAGGTCACTCAACAGGGGTTGCTATTTAAAAAAATTAAGTTACCCCCTACCCCTACCCCCCCTGAGGGGGTGAAAAATTTTTTCTGATGCAAAAAATTGCGGAACCTTGGTTAACAGTCAATGCCACAAACCCAATATTTCTATCTATTTTGGTTTAAAAAATACAGATTTGTTTCCATACTTAATTTACACACTGTATTTGTACCATTTGGCGCAGAGCACATACAACCACTGGAATAGCGCCAATGACTGGATGGAACTAAAGCGAGTGTTCCATGTTCCATTTCCATTGTCATCGTTGGTCTTTGTGTCCTGGAGCTTGAATGTTTCGGCTCGTTGACTGTTGTGATTATTCACTCATTCGGCCACTCTCTCATTTTATTATTGTATTTGATGTGTTATTTTCCATTTCCACTAATTATTAGTTTGATCTATAATTAGATTTTCCTCCCTTAAATAATTTTCTATTAATTTATTTCCCCGTTGACTAACTTTTACTGTTATTTGTTTTTTTCATCCGTTCCTTCGATTATCCACTAGCTTGTCTACGAGAATTACAGTCCTATTTCTCGTACTCGGGATTAGTTTCTCCTCTCTTTCTTTCCTACTCTCATTTTTGGTTCTCAACACTTTCGCGTCTCAATGTACTCGATCCTCTTTATCCTATCTTTGGTGTCTACACTCATTTGTTTGTTTATCCATAAAGTAGTTAATATAAACAGCATACCCCCGCTATAAATGTGAAATAAATATTTAAAGATACATTTTACCCGATGTATTTGTTATATGTGGAAAACGCTTAAAAGATATATCAAACGTTATAGCAACTGAGCCGACTACCCTTGGAACATACATTTGTAATATTTTACTTTGCTTTGAGATTGTATCGTTTGACAAATACCTACTAAAACTTATCTGTAAATTTTGAACTTAGTTAAAAAAAAGCAGACTGCAAAATTACAATACAATTATTTAGCATGCGGAACAGTGTATTGCACCAAATGTATTCACCTCACACACTTATTGAACTCAAAGTTATTCATGTGCTCACCAACAATAAAACACGCTCAATAATGTCCACACTACCACTAAACACTACTTACACTACTGTACACTATTACAGGTATTCTACATAAAGAGGTTCAAGCTGTACTTGTTCAACCTATATTACTCACCATTATTGAGTATTTTATACAGTAAAACATTTGTATCTGGAATCACTAGTCAGAGCTCGTTGTTATATTTATTTTTATTTCAACTTTGCGCCAATTTACAAGAAACATAATTAGTTACAGTCTTAAATACAACTTTTATAATTACGACGATATACAACTGATACAAGTAAATACAACTGATATAAGTACGAAGATACAGGATAAATGTATATCCTCGGTTTTGAAATTTGCTCAAAATAAGAGGATTCTATAAACTTCCAATATGTGACTTTCTTTAAGGTTAGTATTGAAATCAAACCGATTAGTCCCGTAGTATTATAGATTTTAAGATAGTTAGACAGGTTTTATTATACAACTAGTATAACGATTATTTTACACGTGAATTTTAATATTGTTGAAATTAAAGGCACACTTAGCCAAACAAAATAAATCAATTTAACTTTTACATGTCTTTTATTTTGTAATAATTTGTCAAAGAGTAGGCATACTACCTCAAAAACGTATTAAAAAGGCCTGAACAAATGTATTACTATTTGAACTCTCAATAACTGAACAAATTTATTTTTGCATAGAGAGATACTTATATTACTTTATTTAATTTTTTAGGTGTGTATTAATTGTAGGTACCAAAATCAAGTAATTATAATAAGCTGACAAGTTTAAATAATTGTCAAACACTAAGGGGAATGATGTAAAAATGGTTGCACATATCACATAATCAATCAGTTTCTATTTGTATTTACTGTCTTTAAACTAGTGTCTCTTATATTGTCATTACGTTACCACAAACTGTATAATCTATGTCCAAAACAATCAAAATTAGACAAAAATATATTTTCTATAAATTGATATTTATTAGGTTACTTTGACTTGTTGTTTAAACAGAGCATCGACACCGAGAAAAATCAATCCCTTTTTTATTGAGTGTTGCGATAAATATTTACATCGTTTTAGGACCTCTGGATAGCCTCTTAAATAGAGAGTTACTTGAAAACAAGAGGACTTTCAAAATCGTCTTAAATTCACCGTAGCACTTGACGCTTACTCGACAGGCGTTGATTGAATTGTACTGTATATTATCTTTACAAAGATTTTAGGACATAATTAGGTAGGGTTGCTTCTCAACGAAATTGGTTGTAGGTTCGTACAAAATAAGGCATTGAGGGTCATTTATCTTCCATGTTGATTGACCCTAAATTACTATATAATGGCTAAAATATTTTGCTATTATAGATAATAATCTACTTACGTATCACGTATGCCAGTAGGTGTCAATTATTAATACTTGGTTATGCTGTACATGTTTCAAGCCTAAATACGGCTCATCCAAGTTTTACCCAAGATTGGTTAATTTAACTAATATAAAGTTTGATGAAAACGAAACCAACATTTTAGGCAATGCCTCAAAATACAACCCACCTGCTAACACAACAAATAATAATGACATAAAAACTTAATCATTGAAACTGAGGTAGCAATATCATTTTTGGATAACAATAAGAAAGATAGAGTAAGATATGAGGCTGCTAACAAAATAGAGAAAATCATATCAAAATCAAAACAGAGAAGACTTCGCAAGCAACGTTTGACTAGTAACGAAAATAAATGTCTTAAGGTTATTAAGGACAAACTCAACCATAGCTCTGCTAGAATAATAGAAGCCGACAAATCAAATGCTACAGTTGTTATAAATCAAACAGATCTAGATGACAAAATCAATGCATTCTTTCCTGAAAATGGTGTATTTGAGATCGAGGACAAAACGGTTGAATACAATAGAAATCTAAAACATCTTGTAAACAACAATGAAATCATTCATCCGAAAAAACGAAAACATCTGATTAATTTAAAAGCTACTCCACCACAGTTTAAACCTATTGTTAAAACCCATAAAGACGGAATGCCTATCAGGCCTGTCATCAACTGCATCCCAGCTCCATCGTACAATTTGAGTAAATTCCTATCAAATATGATTAAATCCAAACTTGATTTGACATCTGATAACACCAGTCAAAATTCCAAAGAATTTATAGATTCCTTAAAATCAAACAAACACGACCCAAACAGTATCTTGCTATCAATTGATGTTGATAACATGTACGTAAACATACCTCCCAACGAAGCTATTGATGCGTTAGTTACAAAGCTACAATTGTCTGAAAAATTCTCTGAAAGTGAAATACAAGACATCAAAACAATGGTCGATGAAATAACTAAGCAGAATTATTTTGAATGGAATTGTAAAACATATTGTAACCCAAAAGGACTACCTATGGGTGGCCCATTGTCTGCTCTCCTGGCTGAAATATACTTGCAACAGTTTGAAAAAAACAACATTCTAACGCCATCTAATCCTCACTATCGAAAAATTCTGTTCTATAAGAGATATGTTGACGATTCGTTTTTAGTGTTCAGAGGAACTAAACGACAAGCAAACGTTTTCATAAAACATTTAAACAAGATTCATAACTCCATCAAATTTAAAATGGAACTGGAAACCAACAATTGCCTAAATTTCTTAGACATTAAAATAACCAAAGCAAACAATGGCGAATATGAATTTGGCATCTATGGGAAACCCACACAAACTGACTTAGATATACCGAAAAGTTCCAATCACCCTAATCAATATAAATTAGCAGCTTTCAGATCCATGGTTTACCGACTTCTTACATACAACCTTTGTCCCCGTGAATTTGAAAAAGAAAAGAGCATTATTAAAGAGATTGCTTTTAACAATGGCTACAATGTTCAATTAGTTGACAACTTAATTAGGAAAACAAAACAGAACCTACATAAACCGAAAAATCCTTCTACAAATAAAAAATATATCCCCTTCTGCTATGTAAACAAACACTCTGAAACAATTGGCAACATTTTCAAAAATTACGGATTCCACCCTGGATACAAAATCAACAGAAACCATCTTCAAGGACAGAAACGATCCATTGATAAAAAGCAAGATAAAGGGGTATATCTCATACAATGCAATGGTGGTGACAAATGTGACAAAAAATATGTCGGGTACACAAATAGGTCATTTTCTCAAAGGTTTAAGGAACATAATGCCTCTAAACAGAATAAACCTACGTCGATTGTTGCACAACATCTTAAGGATAATATAGGTCATAAAATCGAGTTTGAAAAATCATTAAGTATTTTGAAAAGTTGTAGCCAGAAAAACAAAGCCAAATTATGGGAGGGATTATTTATTTACCAACATGTGAAAGAACACGGCAATGAAACCATGTTAAATACGAGAGAGGAATATTCGGACAAAATCACCTATCAGCTGTATTACGATGTAGATAACAAAACTGGAAATGACAACCACCAGTCAGCTGATACCGTGACGTCACTCTCCCCCTCCCGTGTTCGTGTTCCTCAGTAGGCCTACAAATGTCGTCCAGTCGGGTATTATCTCAACGAGCGTACGCTACAAAAACACGTGTAAATAAAAATAGCATGCTAAAATGTTCTGTGTTTGTGTGTATATGTGGTCTGTATATAGTCGACAATCATCTCTCGATGTGAAAATTGTACATAGAAAAATGCTGCTGAAGATGAGCCGTATTTAGGCTTGAAACATGTACAGCATAACCAAGTATTAATAATTGACACCTACTGGCATACGTGATACGTAAGTAGATTATTATCTATAATAGCATATTAAAGGTGTCAAGGCTGATTAATTTGATATAAAATATTTTGTTACCCTGACGATGCAGCATTAGGCAAAAATGTAGATTGTTAACCTGATATCTACAAAGATGTTGATTACTTTACGAGGTAAATTTTTCCATAGTTATCAGTCATTGTCGTTTACCTTTAATAAAAAAGAAAAAAATCTTATTGTACAGTGCTGTAGTACCTCATCGCTCAAGCACTTTGAACTTTAACTATTTCCAGTCAAGATAGAGGGGTTGACTGTCATGTCACTTTAATATCAAGCCAAAATACCGCCTCTAAAAGAGTCTATGTAGTCTAATCATCACTGGTGACATAACACAAGTTATCGTATGTCTTAGAATATGGACAGTATGGACAGACATACGGATAGAGCTCTCCACTCATAGAACGCATTCCTAACCCTAAATACCTACCCTATTTGTTTTTTTGATAAGTGGATACTCAGCTTAACATAGCTATGAACCCTCAGGCATTTTTAAATAGCTTTAGATGCGTTTTCCTATCTACCAAATTCGTCTGCTGTACACGGCTGAAACTTTGTAAATGTCGCGAGGCTCTTAAGTGCCTGCCTTTTTCAGGGTGCACTGCATGTCGGATTTGGCATCTAAAAAACTTCAGTAAATACTTCGTGTGAAAAACCAGTACCGAAACGTTGAATGCTGTGACTTGAAGACATGACCTAGAAGACCAAAATGATTCAGGATAGTTAACCCATTTTCGGATCAATTAGTTATATGTAGGATTTGAACCCACACCTTTTGGACAGAAAGCCACACTAACCACTAGACTAGCCGTAACTCAATTGGTGACATTATGTGACATCACGACAATGAAGCACCAATTAGAGATTTGACAGTGCTAAGAGTGCATTAGTCTACTTGAAGTTACCCCTATCACTTTGTACCTTGCAGGCACCACAAGCACCATCATCACCACCACCACCACTACCATCACCACCATCATCACCACCACCATCGACACAAGCGTACCAAAGGTCATCCCAAGGCCGCGCTGTGTAGTGTGGATGGATCTACCCTAGTGTTGACCGGAGCCCCAGACGTCGCCGAAACAGAGTTCTGCAATGGAAGCCTAGCTGAGGAACGCTGCGCAGTAGGGTGTAGAGCTCACACTAAACTGTAAGTAGTATATCTGAGTGTATAAGGAACGGCCATTTAAGATAATATAGCTTTCTTAAAATTATTAATGGGTGTAGGTGAGGGGGAAGAGGGGAAATTCTGTTACGCACACAGGTGACCAAGCCTTTAGTGAGATACCCCGCAATTGATCAGGCAACTCAATAAAAAACCTTTTCTCTATTGGACAGACCTAAAATCTTTTGACACAATATTACCAGTAAATGCCCAACGTTTCGAACTATGAGATTAGAGTACAGTATGGATTTAACCTATATAACAGTACTGAACCTTAAACTTAAGAACTTAACTTGAGGTTAAACTTATGAAGGGGATCGTAATTTGTTCACTAGAATAATAATAAGAGGGCTTTTTCGTATTTTTCTGTGAGGAAGGTTATGTTGTAAGAGTCTCCGGACAACTACCCTCCCAAGCAGGTTCCTACGTCATGTTGACGTCAGAGATCAGAGGGCCCAGTTTTCCAGTCACGGACACTCAAGTTTCGTTGTCAAACTATATCAACCTAACCTGAATAACCAATCTTGCTATAACAGTAAAATATTCTGTTTGATATTCCCCACATGCCTTTAATGTTATCAAATGGAATTACTCGAATTAGAATTACAATGATAATTATTACGTATGAAATTACCGTTAATATAATACATAGCATCACATTTTGCTAGAGAGGATAGTATTCCAGTCGCGGACACTGCTCCCATATTGGTTAGCCGGCAGATTTCACTTCTTATTTGGTAGCATCAATTGGGAGGTGGTTTTCCGGGGGCAGTATTCCGCACCCCTTGTTGTAAATGTCACTCAAACTCCAAGATGGAGTCTTTTAAGGTCTAGACATTCCAAAATATAACTGTGGTTTGTCATTGGTTCTTTTCTAAGAACAGCTTTGTATAATCTAATAGTTTATCTGTAAATGATATATTGCATTATGTAATATCAATGAAGGTAAAGGGTTTAAAAAAGTACTATTATTTTACGAGTTACGTTTCTATAAGTGTTTTCATACGAAACTCTGAAGTAAAATTAAATGGTTTACCCAACGACTCATGTGATCGTTGGGTTTACCGGACCCAGACATAAAGCATCTTACTTTTTTACTACAGCACCATTTTACTCAGTAGTTGTTCCGTTGCATTTGTGTAACTTGCTGTATGGTTGGTAATACTACTTAAAACCAAGCAATGTTCAGAGTTTAGTTACGTTGTTACAGTATTTGTTAAAATCAACGTTTTCTTTTCTTATGACCTAATGTTGTGCAATTCTGAGAATTTATTTTTATTTTAAACATTTTATTTTGTACCCTTCTAAAAAGACTTATACTGCCCAAACCTTTTGTTATAACTGATATCTTCAACAATAGTAGTATGACATCTACGTACCACAATAGTATTAATATTTATTTATATTTATTGCTTCTTTTTACATAAAAAATATATATATATCCTCATACAATCATCACTTCAAATACTTAAAAATATAAATAAACATAATTAATCAAGTAGCCTAATACAACGGTTTTTTATTAAGATATACGAGTGTAATACTGTATAACTAAAAACAACCAGGAATAATAAATTGGTAACCGATAATTATTAATGCATATTCATTGAAGAGCGGGTAAAACCAATTACTGAACAAAATTAGCAATTGAGGTAAACCACATCCTCCCCCACAATCCTCCCAGCTTTGTGGCTATTTTTTACCTGAGGATTATAGGATCATACAGTAATACGAGGTGAAATATGAATTTTGAGAATAACATGAACTCATTAGCTTACATCACCACGACAGTGCTAGTGGGAAAATAAAAATCAATATTATATTTATTTTACTTGATTTTTTATGATGATTCAAAATATTTTCTACTGATATTAATTTTAAATTACTAACCAATGTGCATAAGTGTAACCAAGTATATGAAACCATGATTATATATTTTTGAGAATCTTGAAGACTACTTGTAAGTGGAATATTTCCATTGTAAATATCTACAGTGTAATGAAAATGCGTTAGTTTGTCTAAAGATAAAAACAGAAAGCCCAAGGTTAGTTAAAGGCCAGATGGGTAACATTGATATAATATTGATGATTTTGTTAGAACAATTTTAAAATTTAACTCAATTTTGAATATATAGAAATATAAAATGACAGTACTTGATGAATAGCTCAAGGATACTCTTTTAAAAAATTACCCCAAAAGTAGTCTTTTGTTCTCACAAATTTAATTTAATATATCGTACTGTATATAACTCTTTTAATTCCAGGCAATCTTTTTCTGACATAGACACTTTGTCCTTTAGTTGACCTTGACTCATGCACTAAAAGCTTCTCTAAGGGTACTGAGACACTTGTCGATGCTTGACATGATGTTAACTTGATATCTCCATTTTATACCCCATCAAGTTTATATTCATCCCACACTTAAGTTCCTTTATGTTTACTGAAAGCATTAGATGCTTTTACTCCGGTCCCCTTCGGTGTCAATATATATTTATGTTCGGAAAGCTTTACTTTAAAGAAATCCTTAAGCACTTCTTTATAGTCATTGGTATATTTATAAAGTGAGTGCAGGTTAGCTTCTTTTATAGCTCTTAAAAAGCTTAATAGGTGTAATATTCTTGGTTTCAACTTTTGTGTCGCTATTTTATTTGTTAGAAAGAAAGAAGTATACATTAACCTACACCCTACCGATTTTAATTGTACACGAATGTTGATTTGAGGTGTTTTGAAAGTAGAATTTTTGTTGAAAACTTATAACAAACTAATGATTACAATGCTTTGAAATTTATTCGACGCGTTTTTCCTGGGTTTCCCTACAATATTTTAACCCGATTTTGTCATTTAACTGCAATCATATTGAGCAATTTTATCATTTACTTCTTAGCTATTACAATTCTTAATATTTTCAATATAAGTATTCGTATCTAATGTTCTTGTCTCATAAAAACATTATCGTGGAAAATATGTAAAGTATAATCTTTATACATTTTAATATATTTCTTTTAGAATGTGTAACATTATAACTTGTAATTAACTTATGTTTAACTTCCATTTTCTAGCTCAACATTTTGGACAACAGTTATTTGTGACAACAAAACAAGAGCGGGTGCGGTAGGACCGTTTAATCAATTAGGCAGACGGTGTAGTATATTGGTACAAGGGTCCCTAGGGTAGTGGGGCTGTGTAGGCGTGAGAGAGGGGGGCTTATCCTAGGTATAACTGATACTGACGATAGTGTTACTGAACAATTGACAGACTGTATAGTATATTGGTACAAGGGTCCCTAGGGTAGTGGGGCTGTGTAGGCGTTAGAGAGGGGGGGGGCTTATCCTAGGTATAACTGATACTGACGATAGTGTTACTGAACAATTGACAGATTGTATAGTATATTAGTACAAGGGTCCCTAGGGTAGTGGGGCTGTGTAGGCGTGAGAGAGAGGGGGGGCTTATCCTAGGTATAACTGATACTGACGATAGTGTTACTGAACAATTGACAGATTGTATAGTATATTAGTACAAGGGTCCCTAGGGTAGTGGGGCTGTGTAGGCGTGAGAGAGGGGGGGGGCTTATCCTAGGTATAACTGATACTGACGATAGTGTTACTGAACAATTGACAGATTGTATAGGATATTAGTACAAGGGTCCCTAGGGTAGTGGGGCTGTGTAGGCGTGAGAGAGGGGGGGGGGGCTTATCCTAGGTATAACTGATACTGACGATAGTGTTACTGAACAATTGACAGATTGTATAGTATATTAGTACAAGGGTCCCTAGGGTAGTGGGGCTGTGTAGGCGTGAGAGAGGGGGGGGGGCTTATCCTAGGTATAACTGATACTGACGAAGGTGTTACTCAATGATTGACAGATGTTTTGTAGTGTATTAGTACAAGGGTCCCTAGGTCAGTAGGGCTGTGTAGGTGGGGAAAAGGGGGACTTATCCTAGGTATAACTGATACTGACGAAAGTGTTACTCAATGATTGACAGATGTTTTGTAGTGTATTAGTCAAGGGTTCCTAGGTCAGTAGGGCTGTGTAGGTGGAGAAAGGGGGGACTTATCCTAGGTATAACTGATACTGACGAAGGTATTACTCAATGATTGACAGATGTTTTGTAGTGTATTAGTACAAGGGTCCCTAGGTCAGTAGGGCTGTGTAGGTGGAGAAAGGGGGACTTATCCTAGGTTTAACAGATACAAACGAACGTGTTACTCAATGATTGAAAGATGTTTCGTGTTGTGTTAGTCAAGGGTCCCTAGGTCAGTGGGGCTGTGTAGGTGGAGAAAGGGGGGACTTACCCTAGGTTTAACTGATACAAACGAACGTGTTACTCAATGATTGAAAGATGTTTCGTGTTGTGTTAGTCAAGGGTCCCTAGGTCAGTGGGGCTGTGTAGGTGGAGAAAGGGGGGACTTATCCTAGGTTTAACTGATACAAACGAACGTGTTACTCAATGATTGAAAGATGTTTCGTGTTGTGTTAGTCAAGGGTCCCTAGGTCAGTGGGGCTGTGTAGGTGGAGAAAGGGGGGACTTATCCTAGGTATAACTGATACTGACGAAGGTGTTACTCATTGATTGACAGATGTTTTGTAGTTCATTAGTACAAGGGTCCCTAGGTCAGTAGGGCTGTGTAGAAGGAAGGGATCGTAAATAAACTGAAGCTTATGAAGGTGTTAACGATTAATGGTTAGGTGTACTCTTCCCTACCCTAAACTCTAGAAGACAATGCAAAAGGTCTACAGTTCAGTGATATTATCTTAATATAGAAAATAAAATAAAATTATATTTACATTTAGAATGAACAGTTTGCGTTTATTTTCATAAACAGTATATATCTTATTTAGCATTAGAATTAAAAGTCGTAGTACGTGATATAGAATAACATTTGGTAGTCAACCAATCAAATCGCTTAAATTGATTTTTTGAATGAAAACTATAACAATTCCTCCAAACAATAAATTTAATTTCTGAGCTTTATAAATGTTGCTTTTCGAGTGATACGACCAAAAAAAGGTCGATTTATGGACGTGTCTGTGAGGACGTTAGGAACAATTAACGGCTTCTGTAGCTAAGTTTTGCATATTAATGGGAGAATTAACAACTTTACTCGTTTAAATTTAGTTCATTTATTTTTCCACGCTTACATTTCTTTCATAATTTGTTAAAAAATTTCACATACAAAAGTTTTAAACACGATGAAATATAAAACTTAACAAAACAGTTTGTGGCTTAGAACATGTTTATAAACTTACATTACATGTCATTACAGCTGCTGCTACGTTAAGGAGAAATTAAATATAAGAATTGTTATTCCTTTTGATTTTTAAATTAACGCCTTTTCTTTCTTGTTTTCTATTACTTTATATAATTTTCAATAGCTTTTATGGTTTAAATTTGGTACTGTATATTGACCAATATATTAAATATTTTAAGATATTAAATACACATTTCGCATGATGTAAATAAATAAATGCGTGTAGTTATTTAGCTCAAATATTTATTAGCTAAGCTTCATAATC